ATGTAATTGTATCTATATATCCGTACCTATATCTTTATCTGTATCTATACTTATATTTTTATATCTATATATATATGTTTGTATACAATTTTTTGCCATATTTCAGTGCACACATATGGGTGACTTATGTATATGTATGATGATCGTCTTTTGCGCCATTTGTCGTGGTTCCTGAAGAATCGTGTGATAGATTTCTTTTTTAATTGTCTTTTCATCGCGTACTGTGTATATATATCATGTGCTGTTTTTAATCATGTGGGTTGTCTGGGCTTATTAGCCCTTCATCATGCTTGATGTATTTTATTTATTGGTATAAACAGTACTGGATCCGCATGGCGCCACTGCATTGGAGCCTTGTTCACCATAGTATCATCAGTTACGGTTTGCGCACACACACTAACAATATTTCGGCTGAACTTCCTAGTGCGTCAGTTGTCGAAGCCTGTTGCTGCGACCATCAAATCATCGGTTATCGAGCACCCGGTTCTTCGAGGGATTATAGTGCGGGCAGCTCAGAGCTTCCACCGATTAGATCTGCGCATTCGGTTGCGATGGCAGGGTGCCAAAGCTACGAATATCAAGCCCTTATCAGAGGCCAAGGCTCTGCAGACTGGCGCTGATGTGTTCTCAGAGCTTTTCGTCTACGGCATCGCATCGGTAAGTCGTATCCTGTATCTATATCCTTGGTGTGGCGGTGGGTAGTGTGTTGAATCGTATTGCATTCGATAAATGATTTTTCGAGTGAATAGACAAGGGTTTGAAGCTCATTTATAGCAACCATCCATGGGCGTATTTGACTGCGAGTGTGCGTATGTGCGGTGTCAGTTCCATAAACAATTCCCACGCTTTAATCTTGTATTCTGATATATACGTACCCTCTCCGATCTTTATTTCAAACAGACTGTGCTGTTGTACGAATACAAACGCAGCAGCGAGAAGGAGGCGAACAAAGATAGGCAACTGGCTGAAGCGCTCAACGAGATTGCCGAGGTAAGTTTGACGGACAAACCCTTTTAAAGGTCGAATTGGCATTAATTTTTCAAAACTAATATTGCACGCCGAATGTGTTCTCCGACTAGTTTGTATAGGGGATGGTATAGTAGATTTGAATTTAAGTGAACCCGCAAAGTTTAGCTCAATGTATCACAACATATATAAACTGGCACGTGTTGTTATCTGAGATAGCTATAGTCTTCCACTATCTCAACAAGTTTTACTATTATTATAGACTGTCACCAGACAGCGAGCAATTGATCGCATGAAACGCAATGCTTTTTTGGCAGCTACACACCTTAAAATTGTGTTAATACGTATTATCTACAGAGAGTGGAACAATTACATCTTGAACTCGACATCATCAAATGGGAGCGGGCGGTCGCACATGGAAAGAAACAGTCAGATGACGAGAAGCCCGATGAACAGGTAGGTTCATCTGAGTTGTGACGATGGCAATACTTGCGACTGTATCACATAGCACCTTTTGCGCTATGAACTCTGCGTGTACCACTGGCACACTAACGTCTTTGGGCAGCGACGAGCGTATGTAGCATCCGATGACATAGCCTATACACAAACCCCAAGGCTCCGATGCCGAAGGTTTTGAAAAACAGGAATTGTATATTTCGGAAAATACTTTCTGACCCATTTCTTATGGTCACGCAAGGTGACAGGCCTGACTTTTAGTCTATTGTTTCGAGTGCTTGTAGAATTTTCTATGCCCCGCACGACCAAACTGCATGGCCTTCGAGTTATCACAGTTGCATTGGTGTGCATGGTGTATTCACTTTCGATCTTGCCGATCATTTCACACAGACATACGGAGCTCGACCTACACTCGACGAAGAGATGACCCTCCCGCGTATAGAGGAAGAGGAAGGAGGCTGGCTGAACTGGCTGCCATTTGTGGGAAGCAAAGCGACGGTGAAACAAGAAGGCGGTCCCACATCCAAAAGCACATCTGCACCGAGTGAATCCGAAGCAGTCCGGGATACTCCATCGTTCAATCCCAGTTTCATTCCAGTGTTCACCCCAGCAGAGGCACGGGCGCGTGCCGAGGCAGCGAAAGCTGCCAAGGAGGGATCAAGCAGTACAAATAAACCGAATGAACAGATCGCACAGGTACAATCCATACTGAAAAGGCCCACACAGCGGTTTGTCGCAGCGTCGACTACGGCTGTGGGTGCGAACGGCGAAGAGATACCGCGAACACATGCGCCGCTAAAGACGACGAATTTGGTGGCGGAAAGTCTGGCTAAGAAGAGTAGAGAATTGAAAGGTGAATGAAGGGCTCGTTCAGACCTGTTTTAATGTTTCCTAGTTGGAGCAATGACATGATTAGTAGCGAGCCAAGCGATGCCGTAGCATCTACAAATGGCTATATGTATTTTACCAAAGTGCCGCGCAAACGGCTCTATATACACACAAAGCATGCATGCACCACGGACAGGCACGCCTACTTATGTATATAGGCATGTCCGCGAATGCAAATCAACCATTTAGAAGAAACGATCCTGCGCCGCGCCTAGGTTAACAGCCAGTTCTACGACCGATAGAAATCAATGCATATCTGAGGCATCGGGTGCCTTCCATCTTGAACTCGTCGATACGTGTTGGTCGTATCGATTGTCGCCTTCAGGAATAGCCAGCTGGTCCAGGTAACTGTTCCGACGATAGGCAATCTCTGTATCAGTTTAAGACGAGCAGGCGACGGATCGACCAGCTAGTTTGGGGTATATCTCACTCGTGTCCTGGTTAGAATGGTCTGTATCTGTAGATGCACGAGACCACACAATTGACGAACTATAAATTAGCAATCCAATCTATGTCACAGAAACTTTTAACAATGTGGCAGAGCACCGCAGCTGACATCAAGTAGCTGCGGGCTGTAACAAGCATCCCTTATCAGCAATTTCAGCACTTCCAGATTGACGTAGGCATTGGTTTGTGTCAATTTTAAGTGTCCTGTAGCATACGCTTTTCACCTGAAGTTAGCAAAGTTTTTAATGCATACAATACATTTAAAAAAGCGAAGGTGCGTAAGATAAAAGTGTGACAGGGTGTTTAACCCTATGGCGAGACAAGTGCTAGCACGTGAGTTGCCAATGCGCATGACGAGTAGAATATCTTGCTACTGCCACACGTTCAACATAATAATGGTGTTTGAATACGACAACGCCAAGAATCATCTACTATCTGAGTACGGGCACTCGATACGAGCTCATGGATTTGAACTATAGATATACAATTAATATTTTCTCATCTACGGGTCGTGAAGTCGGAATTGGACTGGCAGGTATGAATCCATATGCGCACAGTCTCAATAAGTTATAGTTGTATCAATATCCAGCAGCTGTTCTTTTTTATCGGCATCTAAAGAAGTAGTATTGTCCGTCACTAGAAGAACACTTTAGTTTCCTTAGAAGCCAGCAACAGCGTGTTGTCCGTCACTAGAAGAACATTTTAGTTTCCTTAGAAGCCAGCAACAGCGTGTTGTCCGTCACTCGAAGAACACTTTTGTTTCCTTAGAAGCCAGCAACAGCGTGTTGTCCGTAGGCAGTGGCATCCGGACGTGCGCTGTCTGACGATATCGAGCAAGCAAGTGAGAGCCATGGCCCCACTCAATTCGGATCGGCAAGGTAACAATGTAGAGCCAAGCATCGACTACACTTTGATCTGCCCGTGATGCCGACGGACGATACTTTTTTTCGAATTGAGTTCGGTTTTAATCTCCTTTGCAGATACTCTGACACGAAATTCCCTTGCTATTGATGTGATGTACACACAAATATCTAATGCGATTACATGTATAATTCTACCAATCCACATACAAATCGCTAGCCGAGTGCCATGTTGCAGCGCTGGGGTTTTGGTTGTATTAGGTCAACGAATTAATTAATTATGCATGTGTTTCAAATTACACACAATCGGGTTTCCAAGGGTGTATATGTTTCTTCGTCAACGAAGTCATATATATATA